AATCCTTCAGTTTGCTTGACGTAGCCTTTCATGTTTATACAAACAGTCACAGTTTGAATAGCTGACCATTCCATATCTTTAATGAATCACAATTTTCGCGAAAGCTACTTCACATGCATGGTATCCTTCTGTCTTTTCCTTAGCCACTTGTCTGTTCTATGATTTGCAACTTGTTTCATTAAATGTTATAATAAAAGAACGTGTCATCGTAACGATTTTGTTTATGGTGCAATCTCTAATTTAAAGCAACATCTACTGAAGCACTGCAAACTTTTTGTGTTAAGAAGTGCAAATAAAACATTTAAAAATTTTTGTCAAATCAAGTATAAGTATAAGTGGATTGATCAAAAAGTCAATGAGACTCTAATGAGACTGACTGTTTCGTTTACTATAAAATCAGTAGGGTATGACGAACACGAATCTTCTTTCCGACCAAACGCAGATATGCAAAATTCAGACCTTCAAGGTTAAATGATAAGGCTACTAGAAGCTTTAAAAGAGAGGATTAGTTAAATGAAAGCAGAATGTCAATTTGAAATTTCTGCGAAACCTGACTTACCACCCTGAACTTCGATCATTATGGAATTATAACATTGGTCCATGACTTGCAGTTAAATCAATGAAGCTAGAAATAATTTAATTAAACGTGTTAGCTTATCGACAAAACGCAAGTTAACAATAGACGCTACAAATAACTTGACAAGTAAAATCGCAGAACAACAGCTAATTCGATTCATAAGAATTTGAATGTATCAACAAGGTTGAAATAGTAAATTGGCCACCGTTACGATTATAACAGCTGATGTTTCGAGCGTTAGCCCTTCGTCGGAGCGAATTCGATTCATACTATGGCAAGCGTTAAGTTGATCAACCTTCAAACTTATGTTGTTGGTGAAACAACGAAAGGAGAAAAGGATATGGCTTTGCCGTAGAACTTCAAATTCAGTGAAAAAGGGAGGTGATTAGTCTGAATGAAATGCTCGCGTCACCTGGATTACATCGATCGATGGACAAAGGAAGTGATAAAATTGATAAAATCTTACCAATTGTACTTGATGTCATCACTGAGACAGAATCTCAGAAGTTGCTCGCACACAGTTTTTAATATCGGCACGCAGCGTCAATCTCATAGTTCCAGACCTTTCAAGTTCTAGGTTTTTCCAACTGGAAAAAGGTCTCCTGCTTTTTGTGGAATGGCTGTGCGCAGACGTCAACATTTGATCGTGCCGATCAAATTCCAATTTGGTTCACGCGGCTTTCAAGCAGCACCTATATATCTTTCACTAGTCTACTAGGAGTAATTAAGTCTGAAAAAATAAACAATTTTCTAAGACGAATAAACAAGGGTAAAAAAAATTGTAACACATTCTATTAGACGGACCAGATCAATTTCCCGCAAGACGGTATGGCCTTCATAGCAAGCCCTTGATTCTCCAATGACTCAGTATTAACAAGAAAGAAATTTCACTTTCTTCACTCCCTCAAATTGAAGTAATTTTCATCTTTTTGCAATGAAAGATAAATTTTCTTAATTTATCATGTCTCTCTCAGGAAAAAATTTCGCCACTGTAGCACACTTTGAAACTTGGGCACGTGGGTTCAATGAGGCGGAAGAGACGTTTCAAACAGTTTTGTTTACTGCGGTGATATCATATGTTATGAATATATCGGCTACTCTGAAATAAACATCAATAGTCGCAATTGCATAACAAGCTAGAGCCACCAAAAAAAAGGGATGCGGCCTACATGTCAACGGAAATATCAAAAAATATCTTTTACTGTCAGAAAGGTCCACTGAAATTTCAACTGAGGTAGTGCGAGCTAAGACCAACTCGATCACCAAGATACATTGTATTAAAAATTTCACGGCAATTTTAACAGATCCTAGATCCAAAGGAACATTGAAAAAAGAGGAGGTTTTTATAGTTTACAGAGGTCGGCAGCGAAAGGGGGTAGGGACTATCGCCTCGTTCTTTTGAATGGTGGTTATTTTAGTTTTTAATGTGCAGATCAAGAGAAATGATCTTTTCTCGACCTTTCTGCGACAGCAATCAACTCATTATTATGCTGTCTAACTTTCGTGGACTGTTTAGCTATCACTGAGAATCTCGGTAATATCAAAAACAGTCGTTATACGCAGTCGTTCTATGGGATGTTGAATTAAAAGCTTTGGACCAGTTTGTCAATGGAAGTACGAGACGAATGATTCGTATTTCCACCACCAACTTCACTCTGTATTTGAATTCTTAGCCCTCGTTACTGTTCCTCGTAACGATCTGGAGGGCCTCGCCATTCTCAGAAGTTTGCAGCCATTTCCTCACATTGGCAGAGAGACTTCAAGTTTTCAAAAAAATCAGAGATTACTCCCACATGATCAGTACATTAAAAAAATGTTACCGGAACGGTGATTCCTTTTCGCCAAACTCAATTCCAATTTCAGGCACCCTCCTCCCCACACACACACACACACACGCGCCCGCGCGCGCACACACACACACACACGCACGCACACGCGCATGCACACACACACACACACACACAACCTCGTTCCCAGGGCCTTTTTCCTTAGCTACACCCCCAACAAAGGGAAAAGGCCCTGCGAACGAGGTTGACACACACACATACATCTATCAAGCACACAACAAGAAGTAGCACCAACTTTAGGGTAAGGAGCGATTCAAGTGGTCTCCCCATCGTTAGGGGGAATTTATCAACCCATTATTTCTGGTTCCAAAGAAGAACGGGGGAGCAGACCAGTTATCAACCTCAAGAAGTTGAATTAAATTTAGTGCAAGAGCACCTTAAAACATGCAAGGAAATAGAAAGATTAGATGATCACATTGGATCTCAAAGATGGTTGCTTTTGTGGGTGCTAGTGAGTCGACAAAATCAACCCTTCCTAAAGTTAATTCGAAGAGGGGGAGGGGAAACAAACGGTCATTCGCGTTCCCTTTTGTCAGGCTCCAGCCCATACTTTATTTGTCGGCTCAAAAAATTAAGGATAAATGGGCAGTGTCCTATTGATTTGACATTCGCAACCTCTGACACCAAGCGTTTATTACGTCCCGTCTCAACCAAAACGTATTGTTTGGAACGCACTAAAGGCTGGCACTAATGGCGTCACAAATCAACTGCTGTTGAGATTTATTAAATCACATAAAGAAGTGGTTCCTTGCACAATTGCTAAGTGTTTAGTTCAAATGATAAAATAAACAGGTGTTGATATCTCTGAGTTTCGGGATTGTTAAACAAGAGGTGCTTCACCTCCAAAGCCAAATACAGCCAAAGCTGAAGGAATTTTTTGACAGGGGATTATGGAAATGTAAAAGTGGAAGAAAGAGTCCACTTTCAGAGGACATTATTTAAGGGATACTCCCACCCCTCCCCTCCCCTCCCGTAAGGGGGAAGGACAGGATGCCTTCCAGACCAATATGCTTTGGAGAGCTTGGTTGCTTTATTGATTAAAGATGTGGTATAATATCGTATGGAAGTCAACCCTATCAAACTATAAAATGCTCAATAAATAAATGACAAGAAATGTCATATAGAAAACACATCGATAACACCACCTCAAACGACAATTGCACCGAGACAGACACTCCACAAGCCCCTTAAATTCTCTTAGATCTCAACTTGAATTCAAAATACTCGGTGCTGTTGGGACGAGAATGGACTTGAAAAGCAGTCTACCTCATAGGCCAAACTTGTGCATGCACGGGTTGTCAAGGAGTTCCCAGACCCTTCAGTTTTAAAAATGATACGTGTGACATAAAACAGACTTTTTCCTACTTCATCACTACCATTCTTGCAAGTATTTTGTTTCATTCATTTTACGCAGCAGGCTCCTGGCCAGCCAAAATCGGCCATCACGCGAAATAAGCGCCTGCGTGGATATCAGCGGTATTTCGTCAAAATCAAAATGGCGCAGCTTGTCGTCAGTGTTCACGAACTCGTGCAAAATTACATCCATCGATACGGCTGATGATCGGTCTTTGGCCGTAGAAATTAGCGATGAATTGTTGCAGCTGACCAGGGCAGTAATCAAAAAGCATACTTTTCCTGGAGAAAAAGGGTTCAAATATCACCCAGTGAGAATGTTGTCCCGTACAGTGGTTCACTGGCACAAAATCATCTTACGGAGAATGAAGAAGAAAACAATTGCTTCTCGTCCATGGACAGTGTATTTCACCTGGAATTTGCCTCAAGAAATGTTGGATAAATGCTTAAATCCCTAATCGTTCGGATTTGTTCACTCTTTCCCACCAAATACACAATCATAATACCCGATTTTCATGTGCCGGTAACTATTACCG